CTTATGTGAGAAGGAGCTTCATGATTGCAAGGATGTTAAACAATACACATGTGGGTGGTGGTATTAGAGGCACAGAGATATTTATAAGTTAGGGGACTAGCAGCCAAAATGACACAGTCACCCAGAGAATGCACAGCCACAGCTGCAAGGAAAGAAGAAAACAGGAAGATGCTGCAGTTCAATTGCCACGAACATAAATGTTCTAGAATATGTTCTCTGTCCAGTGTGTTTCTCATCTCTGAACCCATTTAAGAAGAGAGTAACAATTAATGATCCACAAAGAGATATGAACAAAAAATTTTCATATTGGTAATTGCTCATATTTATAGAATGCTGTTGATTAATTGCTTTTTCCCAAAGAAGTCAACATGATCTAAATCTCAGGTAGATAATACTTCTTGTCCTGCCTAGCTATTTTATCATTCTTAAGTGCTGCCCTTTGTCAGGTGTCATTCTGCCTTGTTTATCACATCATTGTCAGTGTCCAGAACAAAGCCCAAGACATAATAGATGCTCAATAAATATCTGTTAGACTAGTTAGTTTGTAAAATCAGTGAACTTTTCATAATTTTAAGGACATATTCTTTCATAGCACTCTGGAAGGCAAGCAGCATGTGAACATATCAACTACATCTATTCATGGTAGATCAGACATGGTGAACTTTCTCCACTCTTATTCAATTCAGTTGCTTCAGAATTCATTCATTTATTGATTGCCTTTAAAAAACATTTGAGACATAATATTTGTATGTATTTTTATGGGGTATATTATGATAATCAGTATACATCTACAATGTGAAATAAACAAATTAGAGTAATAAGCATTTCCTTCTCATCAAGCATTACATCATCGTTAGGTATTGGGAATTATAATACGCTTCCTTTCTAGATAGTTTGAAAAGTTTTAAGCAATTGTGTTAGTCAGCTTTGCATAGCTGTGACCAAAATGCTTGACAAGAACAACTTAGAGGAGGCAAAATTTATTTTGGATCAAGGTTCCAGAGATTTAGAACATGGTTGACTGTGTCCATTGCTCAGGGCCCAAAGTGAGGCAGCACATCATGGTGGAAGAGCTTGGTGGGGGAGTGCTGCTCCATTCACAGCAGCCAAGAAGAGAGAGAGAGAGAGAGAGAGAGAGAGAGAGAGAGAGAGAGAGAGAGAAAGGGGCCACAAGGGAGATGAATCCTTCTAAGGCACACCCACAGCAGCCCACCTTCTCCAGCCACATCCCATGTGCCTACAGTTACTAACCAGTAACTCCATTTAAACTGGGCTGGACTCATCTCCAAACATTCCTGCATTAACATAGAGCTTTTGGGGGACACAACTCATATCCAAACTATAAAATCAATAATTTCCCTACTGTGCTAAAGGAAAAAAAAAACAGAAGTAATTTCTCTACTCTTTACTGTGATTTTGATAACTCTCATTGAACTTGTCAGTAGCTTGATTCTACTCAGTGTCTACTAAATAAAATATTAATTGTAAGGATTGATTTATAGTTTATTTCTTACTTTACCATTCATTTATTTTAAAAATATACTTTGAAATATAATCAAAAGTTCATTTGATTAGTACACTATGTTTCTGTCTTTTCTTTCTCCATCTTCTCCTTTTCTTCTTGCGCTGGTATTAAATACAGGGCCTCCTCATGCTAAGTATGCACTCTATTACAGAGCAACACTGTTAGATCTGCATATGCTATATTTCATTGAGGTCAATTTTGAAAATCAAGTTTCTAAGAAATATGCACAGCATTAGAAAACATTTCACTTATTGGAAAATGCAAAAATTTAAAGATTTTTCTCACATTGGAAAGGATTCCTTTTTAAGAATTGGTACAAACCAACTGGTGTCATAAAAAAGACACTAATTGCAAAAATCTCTTCTTAGTGATCTGTAGCTAAGTCAACTTTGCCACAAATGGTCTGGAATCAGTGTTAAGGGAAAGGGAGTTGAAAGACTTGGGAGTGATGAGTGACTTAACACTAAAGTTCAATAGGAGACCAAGACAGAGAGCCACTGGTAGAGAGGTACTGAAAACACAGGGTCACAAAGGAGGAGTTAGGGTGGGTGATGGAGGGCCACAGATGCATGGAAGTACACAGTGCAGGGAAGTGAGACGCCTGTGGTGATTGACTTAGGGAGCACTTAGAATGCTCCAGGTTTTGTTCTGAATATATTTTATGCTACATATAATTTAATCCTTGTGACAATTCTTGGAGGTGAATAATTGTGCCTGTTTTATCTCTACTTCCACCTTTAAATACAACGTCCTTTAATCTTGTTTCTTTTCCCCCTTAGATTTGTGTCTCTCTTGCTTTTGAGTTTCACCTAGAGACAGACTTCCTCTAATGACCACATCTTTCCATGTGAGTCCCTCTTCCAGAGGGTCTGGCAGAGGGCAAGGACTGGCAGGAATCATGTGGCTCAGTAAGAGCAGCCCATATGTGTACATCAGTGGTAAGTGGGATTTTTATGTTGTCCTTAATATATTAAGTTACTGGTTTCTGAAATTAGAAAATTATGAAACTTGGTGGAATAGACTTGGTCCATACGCCTTGGACTATAGACTTTTCATCTCTTTAAGGACCCTCTGGTTCTGCCTTTCTATGATGTCTATGAAATAAAAACAGCCAAACTTCTCTATAAACCTTTCATAAGCATTCTCAGTAGATTACTTTTGCATGTGGAAAGTACAACAGACAGCATCTAGGAATATTTTGGAAATCTTTTAACGAATCAAAGTGCTAAGACCTAAGAGGTTACTGGAGCAGCTCAAGACATACAGAAAGTTGCTCCTTGCTTTGGTCTGATGCACCTGTTATTTTAGTGCAATGGAAAACCTGTTCATATCAGTGGAATTACATTCATAGCCAAAGGACATTCCTAAAAAGAATCACATCTACGCATGTTTCATTATCTCTTTAAACTTATGTCAGATGCTTCAAACCTATTTAATAGAGGAATACATTTCAGTGGCTATACAGTCTAATCAAAATACAGTCAATAAGTTGAGGGCTTGTTATTTAGAGTAACTTATATTTCATTCTTTTGTTTAAAAAATTTTTATCATGAAACAAACAAAAACCACCATTTTAATTGCCCAGTCAGTTACCTAGGATGAAAGATGACAATAAATATCTATGATGACTTCTTGTCAAATTGTCCTCTGCCTTCTTTGGAATGAGGAAAAACATGAGCCATCCTTAAGGCTGAGGGACAGGCAGGAGTTTGGAAACATCCTATTGTCAAAGGCTATGATGACAGTCTGAGTAGATTTCTGGAACCTGAAACTAGCTTGCTTCTTACTTCTGAAAAGCTTCACACTAGAGACCATGATGTCATCATTAAGTCATTAACAGGATGAGGGGTATTTATGAAGTCATACCTGCAATAAAAAAAGGATTTAAAAATACGGAAATGGATGGATGGCAATTCCAGTCTCATGCTCATGAGCCAGGCTGATTTTACTAGCAAAGGCTCAATGACAATTTTATAGATGTGGAGACAATGGTCTAGTTCATTATGTGGCATTGGCTAATAAACATATCATGGAAAGAAGACATACAAGGCAACCCAGGCACTGTCGGACATTAATTTTGAATCTGAATGTGTGCTCAATAGTACGGTATGGGTATGTTTGACTCTGTGCATAATAGTGTTACCATGGTCATCATGTTCAAGAATTGGAATGCTGTGAGTGATATGGTTGGCTTTACCAACAAGTTTCTTCCAAATATCCCTGAGGAGATTTAAGCCAAACAAAATGTTAGAAGTTTCTCCTTTGTGGTCAGACTTACCTGGTTTAAGTCAGTAATTGAAAAGAAGTTCAGGAGGATGAGTCAGAATGCCATGTCATTGCTTTCTGAGCTGAAAGTGCACAGCGTGTATACTTTAATCTTCCTGGTTATGTACTGCAATAATTCATCCAGTTTAAGTGCACTTCAATTCAAAATTTCAATTACCCCATTCTTTTTCACTTCTCACCGTGAACAGTTTTAGATGGCAGTAAAGAGAGAGACAATGTTCAGGAGTCCAATATAGAAAAGTTTCTGAAATTAGAAAATTTGAAACTTGGTGGGATAGACTTGGCTTGGCTTTATTTATGACAGGGGAGATTCTTGGAGGAAATAACGCAGCCTACATTTAGCCAATGCCTAGGACTTCAGATCTAGGATCTCCGAGGATGCGTTTCCCAAAGTAATTCATCTTTGGTTTCATTATTTTCCTGTAGTCCAGATTCCTTAATTTTACTTACTTAGATCCCTAAGTTACGGCAATTTTTTCCTATCACTGTCATGCCAGGAACTTTCTAAAACAAGAGACCCTGAAAAATGGTGTGTCCAGATAAAGTCCTGTCTGAACCTCAATCAGATGTCCATAGGCATTTTATTCCAGTAAAGATGAGTGCACAATCCTCCCTGGAGTCAACCCTGTAATAGGTGGGTGATAGGCAGCAGTGACAAATAATGCAAACTCTCCAGCTCTGGGCTGTTTTCTTGGGTCTAATTGCCCCCAGGGCAGGGACCTCGTTGGACTCCGAGGGCAGTGGGCTGGGCGGGGCCTGCGTGGCCAGCAAGCTGGGGAGTGAGTCTTTGTACAGTCAGGGCTTCTGCTGGGCAGGGCCAGCGCTAATCCAGCCGGGCGGACACCCGGGCGGGGGAGGGGGAGATGGGGCATATAGGTGGCGTCCGCTGGTGAGAAACACCTAGCACAGGTAAAAGGGTGGCGGCCCAAGGGAGTTCCCACCTGTTGAGTTCTTAAAGAAATGAAGACTTAAGAAAATAGCAAGGAGGGGCTGATCGGTGTCTTTGGAGCCCCACCCTCGGCCACAGGAAAAGCCCCTTGGGAGAGAGGCAGGCGCTTCAGAAAGACTAAGAAAAGCACCGCTTCGCCTCGCACTCCTGCGCGGGCCCAGCCTGCAGCCGCTTCACCCGGCAGAGCGCTCCTACCCCGGCCCTCGGGTGCCTTGGCCGGCGACCGGACCTATCCTCTCCATGGCGGCAGCTGGACCCACACGCTCCAGGATCGGAGCCCTCTGTCGGCAGCTCCTGCTGACCCTCTCAGTGAGTGCCGCCGAGGCCACCGGCTCGGGGAGGGCGGTACGATCCCCTGGGAAGAAGGGAGAAACTTGGGGACCTGGGGTTGGCCAGCGAAGCTGGAGTTAAGGGACCTAGTGGTGGTTGCTAAACATGGAGTAGGGGGTGGGGGGAGGGCAGACAGGAAGAGGAGCGGGACCCGGGCGCCCGGATCCCTAGGGGAGGGAAGGGCGTCTGGGGTAGATGTAATCAGCGCGAGCAGATCGGGAGGGAGGCGTGAGCTGCGAACGCCCATCCAAAAGCTTAGCCTCTGGGTGCTCGCCGGGGAGCCGGGTGCGCCAAGGTTGCTTCTGCGCGCCTCTCCCAAGTCTGGGGAGTGCGCATCCCCTCGGCCTCAGTGCCGGCTTCAGGCCAGGGACAGGGCAGCCGCTGGGCGGACCCCACTGAAAGCGAGTGTCCTTGGGTGGAAGAGGGGACTCCTGGTCTTTGCGGGGGGGTGGGTATTGATCTTGGTGTGCTTTTAGATCTATATGGGGGATCTTAGGGAAAAGGAGAGGTTCCACTCTGCTCTTGAAGACAGGCACCTAGGCGGACACTAGGTGACCCTTTGAATAGTTTCCATTGTTAGCATAGGAAGCTTCCGTCCCCCGCATCATTGGGGGGAAAGGTCATCCTGGTACTGATCTCTGGTTCTCAGAGGCGTCTGGATCCCACCCACTTATCCTTCCCTTGCTCCAATTTTTTTTTCTTCCACACGTACAACAACGTCGACTTCACTCCTTCCCAGAGCTGGGAGCCAAAGCAGATGGCCTTATTTTGGACAGGACAGTTCCTCCCTCTCAGGCAGAAAAGACCGGATTTCGCGGGAGAGTCTGAACTCGCAGAAATCCTAAGTGGGGAAGGAGCTCTTGAGGAAATTTGGAATCAAAGGTGCCCCAGACGGGGCTTTTCCTGGGTTTCCTGCCAGAAAACGAAAAAAGTTTAATTCGGCAAGGTGCGAAAAGGTGCTCAAAACTGCCCTTTCGTGTTGAGCCTTCAGCTTGGGCGCAAGTCAACTTTTAAAGACAGGAGGAGGACCTCAGAGAACAATGGAAGAGCGATTCCTTCTGGGAGTGGTAGAATTGAGGGGCAGAAATATTCGAATAACCTCCTCTTCACTACGCTGATTTCACAAAGGATTTCTAAATTTTTAAATTGTAGGTTTTACTATTATTAGAACGTTTTTGGACTTTAAACCCCTAGCCGAAATCCCCAGGGCATTATTAATAATTTAGCACATAGCAGTTAACATTTTATAGTTGAAGAAACTAAAAATAAATAACGGTCACAAAATATATTGCTGATGACAAAGAGATGATTTTTGGTTTGGTTCTTAATTGTCATTTCCTTTTAAACCACTAGTCATTATTATTTAAAGGAAAAGGTATGCTTCAGGTACCACAGTAAATAGCGTTGCTTTGCAGATATCTGCACTCAAAGCTTTCTGTGTGTCATCTTAGATCCTTTATAGAAGAAAGCACAGTTTGAGGGAATGAACTGAAATTGAATCCACCCTCCCTTCCAAGATCTCCCTTAGTTTCAGAGTTTGACAGGCCAAGAGTGAGGCAAAGAGAAATCTTTCCCTGCCTGAACTCCTCATTGTACTTTCAAGTGTTTGTCCCCCAAGTTGTTGTTCCATGTTGTAGTGCATATCTGTTCAAAGTCCTGGCAGCCTCAGGTGGTTGGTGTGGTTGTGAGAAATGTGTGCAGACTAAGTGTGAGATATTAAGTAAGAATGACATTAAGGGGTGGGGCACCCTTTACATTGTGGCCTTCCCATGCAACTTAGTAATCCTTCACCATTCCGCAAATCAGCTTCTCCCCACTTCCTAATATTTATTCACCTCCTACATATCTTAACCACTTAAACTTTCTTATGCTTAAATACCTAATGAAGCCTCTCAGAGATCTCTCAGGCTACCAGGGATGTCCCTGACCCAAATAAGAGACACTTTCCATTCTTTGTACAATGCCACTTTGTAGATTACATATGTGTTCTTGAAATTCACCCCCACCTCCCTTTTCTGACCTTTCTGATCACTCAGAATCTGAAGCTGTTTTTTTTTTTCTCCACTAGTGTGTGTGTGTGTGTGTGTGTGTGTGTTTAAAGAGACATGACATGAGATCTACCCTCTTAGCAATGTTTTAAGTGTGCTGATGGTGCAGTTTTCAATATAAGCACAATCTTGTTCAGCAGATCTCTAGAAGTTTTTCATCTTATATAACAGAAACTTTATACCTAATAAGCAACTCCCTATTTTCTCCACACCACAGCACCTGGCAAACGCCCTCCTGTTTTCTGCTTCCATGAGTTTGACTGCTTTTTCCTCCAATCTTAAATGGTGATTTTTTTCTTCTGGCCTTATTTTAGGTCCTATTCCTTGAAATTGACACCCTTACCTAGACCATTTCATTCACTTGTGTTGCTTAAAATATCATAAGGATGATATTTAGGATATCAACAAATCCTAAATTGCTAGTTCAGATGTCATCACTGAACAATAGGCCTTTATGTCTACCTACTAGGTGTGATGCAGCATTCATTGTCTTCCCAGACAATGTTGCTTCTCTTTTAGTGTCCTATGTTTCAATGTATGGCACTCCTATATGCCTTTCTCCTCAAGTAGAAGACTGGAAGCTGTTTATTTTTTCTTCTTTACTGCTTTCCTCCCCTCTTGATAACTCTGCATTCAAAGGTATCTCATTGATCTGTTTACTTGTATTTATCACTTCTGCTGCGAGTTTTTACTATTACAAATAATGTCACAGTGAATAAGCCTGGTATGTTATTTTACTGTGGGAAGGTATAACAATAGAATACCAAAATGGAATTGGTAGGAAAAAAGTATAAATTACTCTATAATTGTGGCAGATACTATGTTCATACACAATAAAGTTGTGTATGACTAGATGAAAAGCTTTTTTATAATACATGGCATGTCACTAATATGTATGATGTTATTAAATAAGAACAACACTACCTGAACTCATTAGAAATTGGCTAAAAGATAAAGTAGAACTCATGCTTTATGCATAACACTATAGAAAACTAAATAGATGAAATTTTTAAATGTAAAATATGATAGCATGTGAGTTATATAAGCAAACACAATGAATTCTTATAAATTTGGAGTCAAGCTGGACATGATGGTGCATGTCTGTAATTCTGGCTATTTAGGAGGCTGTGTCAGGATAATCCACCTAGATCCCCTGCCAGAATCCAAGTTAAGAGCAGCCTTAACCACTTTTCGAGATCCTGCCTCAAAATGAAAATAAAAAGGGCTGCAAATGTAGCTCAGTGAGAGCATGCTCCAGGATCCAACCCCTAGTCCTGAAATAAATAAGTAAACAAACAGACAAACAAGTAGGCCCATTTATGACTTACTTCAAAAGCTGTTTTTAAAATTGGGAAAATCAGTTATATAAAACACACACATACACATAAACACAGTTTCCATAGCAAAAAATACAAACTAAACAAAGAAGAAACACCATAAACCTTTTTTTTAAGTTAAAATGTAGTTGATAAATTGAACAAAGTATTTGCAAACCATATTTTAAAGGGCTAGTCTAGTATAAAGTGTTTGTATAAATTAAGAAGAAAAGATTAGCCAGATGCTATGTTGCACACCTGTAATCCCAGCAGTTTAGGAGACTGGAGGCATGAGGATCGTGAGTTCAAAGCCAGCATCAGCAAAAGGGAGGTACTAAGCAACTCAGTGAGACTCTGTCTCTAAATAAAATACAAAATAGGGCTGGGATGTGGCCGAGTGGTTGAGTGCCTCTGACTTCAATACCTGGTACTGCCCCCCACCACCAAAAAAAAAGAAGAAAAAATCAATGTGAACCAGGACATTAATTTTTTTTTTCAAATGACTGTATTCAGTCATATCAAATGCAAATAGGAATTGTTGTATCTTTTCCAATTCATGCCTCTAATATCTGCCTATTCTCCTACTGATAACTGCATTATTTTAATTATTGAGACTATAGAATCTCTTAATATATGTTTGAGCTAATGTTCTTTCGTGGCTCCTCTTTTTCATAATTTTTATGTCTAATTTTAATCTTTCCTATGACATTTTGAATTAACTTCTTTAATTTCAGGAAATATTCTGTTGAGGCTTTGGGTTTTATTTGGATCATAAAATTTATGATTTAACTTAGTGAGAACTGATGTATTATGTTGTTGATTTTTCCAATCTGAGATAATGATACTTCTTTCTTTCTTTTTGTGCAATTCTACTTTTATGACCTGAAGAAATACTTTCAGGTGTTCTTCAAATGGGTTTTGCAAGTTTCTTGTTAATTTCCTTACTTGGCATTCTAACATTATTTTATTGCTTTTGAAAATGACTTATCATGTCATCTAACTGGTTTTATTTATGGGTACGAAGAGTAATGTTGTCTATATTTTAATAGTTATTTCTGCTGCCTTGACTGAATTCTGTTATTCTTTATGGTAACTTATTGGTTTATTTCCAGGTAAAGTGATAGTAAATGAAGACATTTCGTTTCCCCTCTTCCTTTGCAATTCATATGTTCTTGCCTAATATACCTTCAATGTAATGTGAACTATATATGATGAGCTTGGAAAGTCTATTTTGCTTGTAAGTTTAGCGGAGTTGCTTCTGGTGCTATTCCCATTGGTTATAATATATAAAAATCACATTGCAGAAGCACTCATTGATTCCTAGATTTTGAGGCTTTTTAAAAGATAAGAATGATATTGAATTTGGTCAAGTACCTTTAGGTCACTAGGTGGTAACCACATGCCAGGCCCAATTCATGGCTCCAGGATTCTAGACCAAGCGAGTGCTGTGAATGTGGATCAGAAATCCACACAAGGTCTAATTTTCTTTCAGCTCAGCTTTAGAATGAAGGGTTAGCATTTGGGAAGCCCAGACTACTGTGGCAACGGTCTTTTGATTGTTGGTGATTTCTCTGCTTTGATTTCATTCCTTCTCTGTAGAAGTCAGCAAATTAGAATAGAATCTTTGCAGATTGGAATTTGTTTCTGGGTTCCTCTTATTGATCTGTGTTCTAGCTTTATCTTCAGTTTTTGCCTAGCAATTCCTTATTATTTTTGTTAGCTTTTGGATAGTTTAGGATATTTTAAAAATATGTTATCCAGCATTTCTGGTTAGTTTTGTTTTGGAGTTTTACCTCACCTGCCTGCATTAGAAATGAAAGTTGTTCCCTCCATCCATTTTGAACTTTGCTCAGACTTATATTCAAATATAAAGATGCAAATGCAATTTATTTGCTTGAAGCAAATCTTTGGTTTCTTCTCATTATTATTTTATTTTTTGGTATTGGGGATTTAACTCAGGTTCACTTTACCACTGAACTACATCCTCAGTCCTTTTTTTTTTTTTCAAAGACAGGGTCTCACTAAGTGGCTGAGGGCCTCACTAAATTACTGAGGCTGGCGTTGAACTTGGAATTCTCATGTCTCAGCCTTCTAAGCTGCTGCAATTACAGACATGTGCCACTGATTTCTTATTATCTTTAGAGAGAAAAATTCATATATTTGGTTGACATCATTTAGAAACTATTCCTCACCTAAATCCTGAATTCATTTTAAACCTCTTCCTCTTTGTATTATACATATCAGCCATTCTAGGTTTCTTTCTCAGGTCTGTGTCATCTTTGGGACTTTATATTATGTTGTTTCTGTATTTTGAATTTAAGCTCTGCTCTTGCCGTGGCTAACTTATAGCCACTTTTCAGGTAATTTAATCTGGCTCTCGGCCCAGGTTATACCTAACCCTCTCACTTTTCCACAGTGTCTTGTACCTCCCTGACATGGTATTCTCTACTTTATTGAAATTACAAATATGTCTTACCTTGAGATTGAACAATTCATGTGGATCATGAATATAAATATTTGCTGAGCATATTAATGAATGGATGTCCAGGATACCACTACACCCTCCTCCCCAAATTATCTTAATCCAGCCATTTTTTCACTTTCTCCACCATGATTGCCTTCATCCACTTCACCATTGTCCATCTTAGAGTCCTGTCATGTCCTCCTAATTGGCCTGTTGGCTTCCACTTTCTCCTTATTCATGATCTGTTCTCCACAAACTTAGCAGATGTATTTACCACTCCCCATGCTCTAAACCTGCTGTGGCTTCTTTTTGCATTAAAACAAAACCTGTTTCTTACCCTGGCCTTTTAGACTCTACATGATATGCCCTGACTGACCATTGTTTTATCTCCTCATTCTTCCCCATCCTTTTCTTCACTCTGCAGGATTACCATGGGTTCTGGGGAAGTCCTCTTCTAGGGCCTTTGTTCTTACTCCCACCTGGAAGACTTCCCCAATTTAGGAACTCATTTGTTTCCTCACTTCATTTAGGTTTCTGGTCTTCTCTTTGTCATCTTCTTTCTCTGATCTATTTTCCTCATAACCTTTATCTTTCTTTGCCTTGGGATTATGTGAGATTTGTATATTTATTTTTTTGCCTCTTATTACAATGTAATCTTTACGAGGGAAAGAACTTTGCTTTGTTCACTACCTATAGCCTTTGACTCTGTTGAACACCTAGTTACCAACCAATAAATGTTGGCTGAACGAATAAGGATGTATTCTGTCAATCACCTTGAACTAGAATCCTTGGAATCATCTGATCCTGCTCCTACTAGCTCTCAACTTGCTGCCAGTGGAAATTCTTCTCATCTTTTAATTTTCAATTCAAATACAACCTCTTCATTGTGTCCATCTTTAACTTCCAAGTAAAACACAATCTCTTATCTGATCCTTTATATGTTATGGAAATTGCATGATTACAGGTTCCTTAGTATGCATTGCAAATAAAAAATTTCCTTCTAAACTTAGATGGTAATAGCTCATATTTATGAATTTTGTAAATAACACAGTGTAAATGTTTGTTAGCTGTGTTTTGTTTTGGTTTTGGTCAAATGCCTTTGAAAACTGAGGAAAAAAGAATGTAAACATTTCAGAAGCAGCCATTGTCAAGTTTCAGAGAGAACAGAATTAAATTTCTACATATTCAAATATATGTTGGGGTGGGTTCATCATAAATCATTAAAAAATTATTAAGTAAAACTATTTTCTGAAATAACCTTAAATTAACTTTGACTTATGAGAAAATGCATCTTCACAGTAAGTTCCCATATCGAAAAGTTGCATTGTTTGTGTGAAGTAATTATACATAAATACTCACCAGATCACTCCATGGTGTTTTCTTTAAAAGCACCATTTGGAGATAATGGGTTTGGTATCATAGCTCATAGTCAATTAAAAATTTACTGCAACAATTTGCTGGCTCATTAAATTCATTTTTACTCTTCATTTCTATTTATATCCCTGTGCTGTCTTTAGAACTGTCTTTAGTTTTAAGTACTCTCCACATAGGTTGTTGAATCCTTACTAAACCCACTAAGTTATTCAGAGCTGTTACAAGTAAATAAATTTTATAGAATAGGAAACAAAGCTTAAGAATGTACATAATTCTCTTGAGTTTATGTGCTTTGTGAAGGAGGGAGATAAGACTTTCATGTTTCATTCACCCCTTTGATAACATTTTCTTCTGATTTCTTACTCTAGCATGTTTTTAATTTTATTTTACTAATTATATAAACTGATTCAAAATTATATAAATTTTATGCAGCAATACATATATTTACATATCTAATATTTTATCTATGTAATTAAGTGTATATTACTTAAAATATAAATAAAATTTATATAAACAATGTACTCATTAAAAGGATCTTTTTAAGGCATAGTCTGGATTTGTTTTTTTAATAGATCTTATCATTTGCCTGTGACGCCTGCAAACAGGTGATACTACATGTTCCTTCCAAATTAGATGCTGAAAAATTTGTTGGCAGAGGTAAGATACTACTAAAAGTATGTAATTACCCTAATTTGTGTGATCTGTTAAAAGCTAGTGTAATTTTTAAAACTATAACTGTATTAGGGAATAGTTAAAACTAACAGTCCTTTATCATTTTTAATCCTTGTATCTTGTCAGTGACAGAATATTAGTCTTTGTTTTAAAAATGTGCAATTATTTGAAGATAAAAAAGTTTTAGCTTGAGTAATAAAATAATTTTAATATTAGTTGAAAGATATGGTATAGGCTAAATATGCTTCTAAGAAATTGAGAAATATATTGAAACTATTTCTTGAATTTAAAGATATTGTTTTTGGATTTTCATCATGAAATATTTTGACATCTTATTATATTTTATTTCCATGTACTGTTTTTTATTGCTTAAGCTTTTTACATAACTCACTTATATAAGGAAAGATCAAACTAGTGGGAACACAGAATTTGATGAGTATTTCACAATAGATGTTATGAGTTCTGTGATATTTTAATTTAAGAACCACTGCTTCTAATCAATTAGATTGTGTTAGACATACTTCAGGTACTCTTATGTATTCCTCTACAGCTAATTTCAGTTAATAAAAACATTTTTCATTGTTGGCTTAAACATTCAACATTGTTTCAGGACAGACATTTTAAAATAAGAATGTAAAGTAAACCAGGTGCAGTGGCACTCACCTGTAATCTCAGGGGCTCTGGAGGTTGAGGCGGGAGAATTACAAGTTCAAAGCCAGCCTCAGCAACTTAGAGAGGCCCTATGCAACTCAGTGAGACCCTGTCTGTAAATAAAATATACAAAGGGCTGGGGATGTGGCTCATTGGTTAAGCATCCCTGGGTTCAATCCCTAGTACCAATAAATAAATAAATAAAATAAAATAAGCATTAGAAGTGATGTTTGTGTTTATGCACAGTGTAGCCCACATAGTTTCATATATCCTTTTTTGGGGAGCAGGTACCAATGATTGAACTCAGTGGCACTGGGCCACTCAGTCACATCCCCAGCCCTATTTGTATTTTATTTAGAGACGGTGTCTCACTGAGTTGCTTATTCTGAGGCTGGCTTTGAACTTGCAATCTTCCTGTCTCAGCCTCGTGAGCCACTGGGATTAACAGGTGTATGCCATGGCACCCAGCCTCATATGTCCTTTTAAAAATGCTAAATGTACTAGTGGGAGTGTAATTTAAGTGGCTTCCTACACAAGCATGCATTACTGTTAAAACTATGTATCATTGTGTTTCACCTTAAAAATGATTGCTATGTTTATTTTATACAGTTAACCTGGAGGAGTGCTTTAAATCTGCAAATATCATTCACTCAAGTGATCCTGATTTCCAAATTTTAGAAGATGGTTCAGTCTATACAACCAATGCTGTTCTCCTGTCCTCAGAAACAAGGAGTTTTACCATATTACTTTTTAACACGGACAGCCAAGAGGAGAAGGAAATATCTGTCCTTTTAGAGAAAGAAACACAGGTATATGAAAATAATATGAACAAAGTATAATGATGTCTCGTCTTTAGGTTTTATAATATTGACAGGGTAGAAGTGGAATCAGAAAAGATATGGAATAGATTGGTTTGAATAATGAAAACAATGAAACAACAGTGTGTAAGTGAAAAAGGGCTGTATAAGGTAGTTTGTTAAAGGTTGTATTCCTTCTCATTTAGGACATGAAAGGAGAAATTGGGATAAGCTACAGCATGAGAATTTGAGATTAGACACAAAGAAACATTTGCTGGTCTTTACTATAGCATGGATTTCCAAAAGCAAAATTTGAAACTCTGTCTCTAGTAAAGAAAAATGTTTCTTTTTTTCTCATGCATCTTAGCATAACTTGTAGTCTTAAATAGATGGCTGTTTTAGGAGGATGGACCACATGCATGCTTATTATCTTGTGACACCAAAAATCAAGGTGTCTTCAATTCAGCATCGATCGTTCCTTACTGCAGTAATTGAGAGGTGTCACCATATTTCTCTCCTCATTCTGACACAGATCTCTTTGTTGGTCCCCTGGCTCTGCTTAGTTGCTGGTGAGTGGAAGATGCTTATGCTAAATTTGGAAGGGCACATACTCACTTCTTTTCTTTGCATATGCCTCCTCCTGTGTTTTGGCATGGCAATGTGATAACAGTCATTTTCTTTTTAGTTTTGCTTCTAGGTTTCCAATTCCATCTCTCTTTCTTCCACATTTCCTCCAAGTTATTCTCTCAAAAAGGATTATTGTCATCACAGCTATGCAGCTATTTGTTTTTTTTCCCATTCTCTTTATGCAATGTTGATATTCCTTTTGGTTTTCAAGCACTATTGTCTTATACCTCCCCAGCTAATCCCCATGAGAGAAGATGTGTCTGACTTCTAATGTTTGAGAATAAAGTGGTCATTGACTTTATTTGTTGATGTATTTCTATCTTCTAAATTGAGGTTCAAAAGAGAAGACATTCTAAAGAAAAAGTTCTAAGACGTGCCAAGAGAAGATGGGCTCCTATTCCTTGTTCCATGATGGAGAATTCCTTGGGTCCTTTCCCACTTTTTCTTCAACAGGTACAGTATATTTTCCTTCTATTGTAAAATCCATTGTTTCCATCTTAACATCAAAATTTGACATTGATCATGCAGTTACTTAGAAATAATTGTGTCAGGGTATAGGATGTACCTCTGTGGCAGAGCACGTGCCTAGAATACACAGGACCCTGGGTTCAGTTCCCAGCTATGCAGAAGAAAAAAAAAGCCATAGAAAAGTGATATCATATGAATATTTGATTGCATGGGGATATGTATACATGTTCAGCATATGGATACAAATATATTTCTTTATAGCTTTATACACTTTTTGTAGCTTGAGTTATACAGAGGCTAGCTATCGAACTATAAAACCCATCTAGCACTTTTGAACACCTTTCTTTAATGATTTCTTTTTTTTAATCAACAGAGGAATCACAGACCTTGGGCACAGCCTAGAAAAATTCCCAGGTGTCTTCCATAATAAAGGATGAAATTGCAATTGCCACGAAAGAGGAAGACACATCTGCCTTTCCATTATCAAGTCCATTTCTTAAATCCCACCAAATGCACATTTTCTCTTTTCCTTTTTAACATTTAGTGGACACCCCAGTCAATCTTCTTCCCTTCTTCCACTATTAGTGGCCACTATCACTCAATCTATGACTTGGGTTTCTTTTCCTTTAATTTCTTAAATGGTGAGGGAGATTCTTCCTTTATACCCCACCAACAAACTGAATGCAGCTCAGAGGAGAACAAATTAAAGTTGAGAAAAATTTGTTAGGAAATAATTGTGTTAGTCATCCTGAGATAATGACAGTCAAGATCTCAAAGAGAAAATGAAAACAGCTTGGAAGAAATTTTTTATGAATCAAGGACCAAATATTACCCTTACCTGGATATTATTCCATTTTATTCTCCTTCACATATTTTTTTCACTTAGCTCTTATAATAAGGAAGATAATAACAAATACTAAAACTCAGCAAGGAAATAGTATACTTTAAACCCACTTTCTTAATTATTTTGTCACTTATAATAAAAATTTATTTTTCTTTTTAAAATAGCCAAGTAATTTTTCATGTTCAGAATATTTTGTTTTCTAATACAGGAAAAACTTTTAAATATTGATTCACATACATACCATTTAGCCTTAATATATTTATTAGTTATTCTTGGAAACCAAGATTCTACTACATCATTTTGCTCTTGCCTTTTTCTTAAAATTTGTCAATCATGAGTCTTTTAGATGTATAATCATAAATTAAAGAGGGTAATATTTATTGTGATAAAATTGAGAATGTGATTGTACAAATATACAGGTAAAAGTTGTGCTGAAATAAAAACTTGTCTCATAATTATATCTACTCTCTAGGTCCAATCTGACGTAGCCCAAAACTACACCATATACTATTCCATTAAAGGGCCTGGAGTTGACCAAGAACCTCTAAATTTATTTTATGTGGAGAGGGATACTGGAAACCTGTACTGTACTCAACGGGTAGATCGTGAGCAATATGAATCTTTTGAGGTAAAACTTAAAGTTTGTGTGTTATATTAATGGTTACTAAGCTTGGCCATTGTTTCTCACATCTCTAATTCATTTACCCTTTTCTATTTTGTGAATTTGTCATTAATACTCTGGCTTTATCTGATAGCACAGCATTGACTTGAAACATAAGAATTTTCATAACAATCCTATAAGATTGTTCCCGGGATTATGGTTTTACTCTTTGTTTTTGATTTTTGTTGTTTTTCTTTCAAAAGAAAAAAAATAAGTATCATTTTGAGAACAGGTCTTGAGTTGGTAGAAAAGATTCGTGAACCTCTTTATAGTACAGAGGTAACATGGGAGGTAAATGAGGCTCAGAAGTGACATATACCTGAGAACCTTTGCAACAGGAGAAAGTTAACCCATGGGATCAAGTAAGGAGTGTGGCCAGTGCTTAATTTGCTTCATTCAGGCTTCTCCAGTCTCTGCATCTCTTTCCTGTGGTGCAATGTGAGTTCACGTGTGAGAACTTGACCTCATGCTTGTTTTATTTCCCAACAGGACCTGGTCCTCTTGCTTAACTCAGTTTTTTATTATTTTACATCTATTTTAGATGAATTAATATTCATCAGAAAATCAAATTAACCTACCAGACAGATAAATTTTGGATTAAGTGTTTAGGTTTAAGATTTCTATGATATGACTTTCTAAGTATTTGTGATGCTCTATGTCTATGATATCTATTATGAAAAAAATTAGAATTGAAATTCATATTATGGAATCACAAGAATGGAATATGTTCCATACATAATTTATAGCCATTCATGTGTTCTGTTTCTGAATCTTGCTTTTTAAATAAAAAAATGATTAGGAAAATACTAATCTAAGTATAAACATTGATATGCATAGGGTTTTAATTAGTAGAAAATAAGATAATATATAGTTAAATCCACCTGGAGAATTTATAGTCCTGAAGATCTAAGTTAAGAAAGACCCAGAAAGTTGTATTAAAATCCTTGCATCCAAAACTTTCAAACAAAGCAAAATCCTCAAGCCTTTTTTGAAAATAATAACAAGAAAGTTATACTTATGAACAAATATAGCAATGGTGAGGAAATTAAAATGATCTATGTTACTATATTAGATAAATTTAAGCATCAAGTGCTCAACTTCACCAAGGAATTAGCAACCTCTTTTGGCCTTAAAGTTATGTCCACATTCAAAATCAGTAACAAGTGGTGAGACAAACATTGCAGTTCTGAACAATCTCCAAATTAAAATCCAAGCAAGTTGAAGTCATACTTTATTTTAGAGAATAATTTGGGGAACTGAGGCTCAGTGGTAAAGCATGCATTTAGCATATGCAATGCCCTGAGTTTGATCTCCAGCACCATACACACAAAATGTATTATTTTCACTCAATTCACAGCTAACTGCCTTTGCAACAACTCCAGATGGTTATACACCAGAATATCCATTGCCTCTGATAATCAAAGTAGAGGATGAAAATGATAATGCCCCGATTTTTACAGAAACAACATACACTTTTATGATTCTTGAAAGCTGCAAAGTTGGTGAGTATCCACTTTGATGATAGAAGACAATTTTAATGCATTTCAGCTCATGAACTGAGTTTCACCATGAGCACTAGAAAGCAGCATATAGTGGTGGTTGGAAACACTGAGTGGGATTTTACTTTACCTTTCACTAGTTGTCCTTGCTCAAGCTTCCTAGTTTTAACAAGCCTTAATTTCCTCATCTGTAAAATGGGGTTTCAGTATGCCAGATTACTGTGAAGATTAAATGAAGCATAACATAAATGGAATGGAAATCACAGTGCCTCAGAAACAGGAGTTAATAAAAGTTTTTTTGCCTTTTTTTTATAGTAGGGCAAATAAATGCTTGTAAGAGAGCATACTCCAAAAAATGAGTCATTGAGCAATTGGACATAGTCCTAAAGGTGTCTACTGGTGTTCTATAATGGTTAAGTGAGTGATGATATTCTGCGGGTGGTTATGAAAGTCATTGAGAATAATACAAATGTTTTCTCAATCTTGCAAAAACAGTCCATTTTATCTGGAAATCAGAATGAGTCTTTCTTTAGAAAGACCCAACTGCACCATCAATTTTCAAAGAAAACTGGCTCATGTGGTTGAATATAGGCTTGCAAATAAAAAAAAGGCTAGGGCATAATTAGAATATTTTAGTTTAGAAATGCAAAGATCGTAAGGTGTTATATCAACACTTATAAATTCAAACGTGAAGTACAATTCAATGGATTTAATTACCAAACTCTACAATGTAGCAATGCTTGTTTTTTTTTAATTTGTTCTAATTAGTTACACATGACAGTAGAGTGCATTTAGATATACATACATAAATGGAGTATAACTTCTCATTCTTCTGGTTGTACATGTTGTAGAATCACACTGACCATGCAATCATATATGTACATAGGGTAATAATGTTCAATTCATTCTACAATCTTTTCTACTTCCATACCCCCTCCCCTCCCTTCATTCCCATCTGCCTAATCCAAAGTACCTCTATTTTTCCCTAGCCACCCCCTTTTATTGTGAATTAGCATTTGCATATCAGAGAAAACAAATTTTTTTTTGAGTTATGTGAAGAGTGAAGTCAGTAAGAATTTGATTATATGAAAGCTTTGACAATTAAATAGGTTGTTTTATTCACAATTAGGTTCCATCGTGGGACAGGTGTCTGCAACTGACAAAGATGAGCCCGACACGATGCACACACGCCTGAGGTACTCCATCCTGGAACAGCTCCCGTCCTCCCCCACACTCTTCTCTATGCATCCAACTACAGGTGTGATCACCACATTGTCATCTCAGCTTGACAGAGAGGTAACAGAATTATTAACAAGTACTACTTGACTGTAATTCATAGTACAGTTTAATTTTCCCTAATCTGAAGATCTGACATCTGAAGTATTCACACTGTTTTGAGAAATGAAAAGAGATCACGAGTGGAAAATTCTATACCTGATCTCATGGGATAGATCACCATCAAAACAGAGGCATAGTAATATGTGCAGAGTAAACAGATTATAGTGGCACCCAACCTGCAATCCCAGAGATTTGGGAGACTGTGGCAGGAGGCTTTCAAATTTTGAGGTCAGGCTCAGCAACTTATGAGACTTTGTCTAAAAATAAAATAATAAAAAAAGGATTGGAGATGTAGCTCTGTGTTAGATACCCCTAGGGTCAGTCAATCCCCAGTGCTCTCAAACATACAAACTCAACAACAACAACAACAAGGCAAACAAACAACAACAACCAAAAAAACAAAACAAAACAAAACAAAAAAACAACCCACAGGCACAAGCTATGTATAAATGAAATACAAATGAATTTTGGGTTAATGTGGGTCCTATCACCAATTTGTCAAATCATGTGTATGCAGATATTCCAAAAATCTAAAAAAATCTGAAAAACAAAACACTTTTCATCCCAACTATTTCAGAAAAGGACATTCTACCTGTATCTGGTTATCTCTGTATACCATCTCTAAGTGTGTGGTTTTTTTTAAAGATATATTCTCTTTTTTTATACATTTTATTTTTTCTATTTATTTTTTAGTGGTGCTGAGGATCGAACCCAGTGCCTCACATGTGTGAGGCGAATGCTCTACCACTGAGCCACAACCCCAGTCCTAAATGTGTTTTTTAAAAGCATGATGTGAAAAAAAAATTAGAAAAAATATTTTTATTATTATTATTATTATTATTATTATTATTATTATAATTGAAGCCAGGGCCTCATGCAGCCAGGAAAGAGCTCTACCATTGACCTATCCCTCCATTTTTAGGAAAATTGTTATTTAAAGTAAGTTTTAATCTTCCAGAGTGCTAATTTTTAATCCTATGAATTTAATGTTTCATGAACCAAAATTTCAAATAAAAAAATACTTACAGCATTAAACATAATAGGGAGTGTCAAATATGAAAAGTGAACTGTTTGGTAACATGCAGAAATTTGTTATCTATGAGAGAGATGTTCCTCTTATCTCATGCCCTCTTCAGGGGTCTAATCAATGTTCTTCTTCTTACATAGATGGAAAAAAAAAACTTCATCTCTCTAACTTTAGGTTGCCATGTCCAATTGACTGCTAGAAATCCTTATTTTGATGTTTCACAGGTTCTTTGATGTATCTAAAATTTAACTCATCTTCTAAACATCCTCGCTTTCCCATATTTTTTAGTTAAAATAATATTAATGAATCACCTATTCATAATTTTCTGTTGTTACCTGGGAGTCATATTTTCAAAGTTCTATTTGATTTCTACTTGTACCCTCTCAATCAAATCACTTTACAAAGTATGTTGACTATTTTACTTTCATATTGTCTGTTTCCACTGTAACTACCTTATTTTAATTATACATTTACTTATTCAACTATTACTTCTCCACCACATTATGCTTCTGAATTTTTATAGTAATTTGTCTTGTGTGCTAATTTATATTCCTTAATCTCAAAACATAGTAATATGTGATTATCTGGTATTTTTTTTGATTCTTGAAACTTCCTATAGATTCATTTCCTCTCCATTTCCTTATCCCCTTGTGAATGAGAGCAGTAATCTTCAAAATTTTTGGTCTATGGCCCCTTTACATTCTTAAGTATTGTTGAAGATGCTGAAGACGTTTTATTTATGTGGGTTGTATTTATTGCTTTTTAATCCATTAATATTAAAAGCCAAGGATAGTTTAAAATATGTGTTAACTTACTTAAAATAACAACAAAAATACTACATATTAACACAGATAAAATTTGTATAAAAATAAGTAAATTTTCCAAAACAATAAATATCTTTACTATTTGGCTTAATATAAGACAGGTGGATTCTCAATCGCCTTTCTGTCATAATAAATAGGTAGCTGTAGCAGAAGTGTACAAAGAACATTTGACATTATATGAAGTGAGAAAAGAGGAGCATTTCAATAGTAGTTGAAGATAATTGTGTCTGTTCTGTAATATTAAATCAAAACTTAATAAATGGTTGTTACCTAAACATTTTTAGCAATGCGGACTTTGAAGTCTCATCAATGAACTTTTTTACTTTGTTCCAGTAAAGTCCATTAATCTGGTACTATGAGTGGATACTTCACTGTTGTATAATATTTACTATCATTGGTCATTTGGAAAACATTGGTTCAGAATTATATAGATATTCCAAATGTTCATGTATTTCATTAAACAATATTAAAAAAATAACTTCTTGATTTCCATTATTATCTCAATGGTTGATAGAAGTTTTCCCAGGTTCTTACTTTTGCTTGAAAACCCTAATTTATCATTTACAAAAAATAATTATTTGTTAAGTGATTTGACAAAGTATCTTCCAAATACTCTAAATAACCACATGAAAAAATAATATTCTGTGGCGAAAAAAAATTCCCAAAACAATTTTTAAAAATCACAATGGCTGGTTCAGCTTGCAAGTCAAACAACCACACAAGTACTTTTACCTTAAATAGATGCTTCTTGTAGAATCATTTTTACCACTGAGTTTACCCAGTAGTGCTCTATAATGACTTTTTGACTTCAGGATTCCAGTTCCATCTGTTGTCTGTAACTTTAATGCACCAGAATTTCCCTGCCATCTGAATATATCACGAATATTTAGGATAACCAAACTTCATCTTTCTTTCTTTCTGGCACTGGTGATTGAACCCAGGGTGCTTTGTTACTGAGCTACATCCTCAGCCCTTTTTTCTTTTTTATTTTGAGGTAAGGTCTCACCAAGTTGCTGAGGTTGACCTTAAATTCAAATCCTCCTGCCTTTACCTCTTGAGTTGCTAGATTACAGGGATGTGCCACCCCACCTGGCTAAAACTTCATTTCTTTATCAGCCAATTGATTATTTCCAACATTTCTAAGTTCACTGCAAATAAAATATATAATTCCTCTTGAAATCATAGTAGCACAAGGCTTATAAACTTTTCAGTTGAAATAGGCCTTTATTTTTTAAGTCTACACATAGGTTATGAGGGAGGAGTAAATCAAGAAAATTACATGTATCAAATTATGGGAAGAAGGTGGCTTTGTAAAAGAAGGGGGAACATTTTAGGTGGATAGATTTTCACAAATTACTTTGTCTTGGAAAAAGATATACATTAGGTAGGAAAATAATCATTATAATCAATTTATGGTAGAAAACTAGGCAAAGATATATATGCCACTGCCCAAGATTGCACATGTTGTGTTTTGGGGTTGAGAACGGAACCCAAGTCTCCTAAAGTCCAGTCCAGTCCAGAAGCTATTATAATCTTGCTGTTTTATTCCTTCTGTATCTCAATTACTCACGATAAATGGAACCATTATGAGGAGAAGCACATATCTTTAAGGAAATACATGAGCCTTTTGTAACATCTGATGGAAAACCTAATAGCTGGATTCTGTGTTCCGTGTTACATTGCCCCAGACCTTTACCTTCATACTCATTGAATGATCTTTTTTAAAAAATGTAAAGTAAATCCCTAAAATCTTATCTTTTCTCACAAGAGGGCATTTCATTTTGTTTATTGCGGAACTATTGTAAAAGTCACTGCTCTATATATTTTTAATGTAAGAATCTACTTTGATAGGAGAGCAAGATTTTGATTAATTGCCAAACAATTTTAAATGTACTTATAACTATAGACCTTCTTTTTTTCTGCTGCAGAATGATAAAATCAATTTATTTCCTATTAAAGTAGATGAGATTACTCAATTTTCACAAATTGAAAATTACTAGAGTAAAGAAGATTCCTTTTTTAATTTGTTCTAATTAGTTATATTTGACAGTATAATGCATTTTTGACATATTATACACAGCTTCTCATTCCTCTGGCTTTACACGGTGCAACATCACTCCAGTAGTGTAATCATATATGTATATAGGGTAATAATGTCTGTCTCATTCTACCATTTCCCATTCCCACAGCCCCATCCTTACTCCCCACTACACAAACTGAAGTTCCTTCAAGTTTTTCTTAATTACATGTGCACCATTAGATTTAAATGTACCTCAGGTTATTAACGAATGGAAAATTTTAGAGTATAAACAAAGATTTCATTTATAATGTTGCTGTTTTCACCCAGTAATTAAGTTCTTTCTTTGTTTTCAGTTAATTGATAAATACCAGTTGAAAATAAAAGTACAAGATATGGATGGTCAATATTTTGGCTTGCACACAACTGCAACTTGTATCATTAATATTGGAGATGTGAATGACAACTTGCCAACATTTACCCGTACTTCTGTAAGTATACGGTATTTATATAAGAAAAATATGTAACAGTGTTGTTAAATATGCACATCTCCATCTGTGCCTCATGATTTCAAATGAAGTACCACAATGACATACTAGTTTGGTGTTGTCAACATAGTTCTTTAGAAATTGGAAGAACAGGATGTGAAGGTGATCTGGCTATGACGTCTGTCACCCACTGATTGACTGATCTGACTGCCTAGGCAGATGTCACCTTCCTCCCTGACCATGTGCATCCCTCCTGAAGCTGCTGTGCACTTAGTTGAAGGGGATGACCTTTCCTGATAGAGGAGATAGAGGAGGACCAGTCTTGGGTCAAGGGTATAGGAGTTGCTGTGCTCCCTGGTAGAACCTCCAAAAACACTCTCAAGAAATTGGAAGAACATAGCTTTCTTCATATGGTGGTTTATTTTTCTGAGGGCTAACTAATGAAATATTTTGTTTCTTTTTATTATTTTTAGTATGAGGCATCAGTGGAAGAAAATACAATTGATGTGGAAATCTTACGTGTTACCGTTGAGGATAAGGATTTAATTAATACTCCTAATTGGAGAGCTAATTATACCATTTTAAAGGGCAATGAAAATGGAAATTTTAAAATTGCAACGGATCCCAGAACCAATGAAGGAGTTCTGTGTGTAGTTAAGGTAAGAATAAATTAGTAAATCAGTTGTTTGTAATTTATAATATTATGGAATAGCATATTGGGGTTTAATAGGAACAAAGAAATTATGGTAGATGCAGGAATAACATACATACAGAGGTAAATGTAAATGCCTATACACACACACACATATACATATATATATATATATATATATATATATATATATATATATTCAGTTGTGGTGATCTTTATAAAGTCATGGTTTCAAAAAACCATTTATATGTATTCAATTAATTTGATATAGTATCCGCCTTGTAACCAATATCTCTCAACAATTCAAAAGCTAGCATAGCTTTGAGGCTAATTGAACAGAGTCAAGCTCTTCTAGACTGCTCTTTCTTGTAGCTGGGTTAAGAAATCACCACTTAGTACACTTTCCAAATGAGTCACTCCTGGTCAGACCCATAGAGAAGCTGTCTGTAGGTTTGTTCATATATATCCAGCATACAATATATTCGTAACTTCCAGTTTCAGTATGGGAATCCTTCTAATATCATTTTTTATATCTGAGGAGCACTCAGTGCTAATTCAGGAGCCAGAGATAGCACATAAAGCAATCTGAGCTGTTTTGACCTTGGGCAAAGTCATACACATTTCTGCTGTATTTTTAATAACTAGAACATGATTCTCTTGTGGATCTATAGAACTTTCTGTTTGTACTTATTCTCAATTAGTTTTATGGACCAAAAAGGGCAATTTTTTCCTTGCAATGATGAAAATTAGCTGTACTTTGTGAGTTAATTTCTATTTTTCAAAACAGCAAAGAAAAATCTTTTTGAATCCTGTCTCTGTCTTACCCACCCCTTGCCCTAATCCTAAGAAAATGTATTTTTGTGAAGTCTAAAACCTGAAAAAAAATCTTTTATTCATTTTCATTACAAGTACAAATCAGGTCAAATACAATAAAATCTTCTATCAAACTTGGTACTTCCAGTTTTTAAGAAAGGGGGTGGAGGGCAGGAAGATAGAAAAAGAAAGGGTCATGTTCTTAAACTTTCTATATCTGGTATCTCCCCTCCTAAATATATTTTACAAAGCTTGGCTCAGTTTCTCTACACAAATCAAGTCCAAGTAATTTTTATTCATCTCAACAGTGTAAGACAAGCTGTCCTCAAAAAGGGAATGGTATAGTAATGACCATTGATTATGATTATGAAACCACTAAAGGAGGATTCTTATTTGTTAACATCGATTTTAGTAAATTCTTCCTGAAATCATTACCAAGACCTGTTATACTGCCTGTGCTAAATTTGTAGTTGAGGAAGAATTTTTTGTTTAGTTTGTGTCAATTGCACTCAAATCTGAATGAGTTGAAGAATTCCCCTCTCTTTACCACCACCATGATTTTAGATATATGTTTCATATTCTCATGACTGTTTCCAACATAGTACTTACGTATTTCCAAATTTAACAAGTTATTGTTACTTGTCAACATTGCCAACTCTTAAATATCTTGATCTGATTTCCAACACATTTAAATTGCCAGCCACTGAATTATGAAGAAACACAAAAGGTGACCCTACAAATTGGAGTAGTTAATGAAGCTCCATATTCTAGAGAGACTAGCTCAAGATCCGCCATGAGTACAGCAACGGTTACTGTTAATGTGAAAAATCAGGATGAGGGCCCTGAGTGCAACCCTCCAGTCCAGACTGTTCGAATCAAAGAAAATGCACCAGCAGGGACAAGAAGCAGTGGATACAAAGCATATGACTCAGATACAAAAAGTAGCACTGGAATAAGGTATTTATCATTCTATTGTTCACTCCAAATTTATTGTGTTTTAAAAATTTATAATTTACTTATTGTCATTTCACTTATAATACTTTTTATGACTTTAATTCATTGTTGTTAAACAGGTATAGGAAAATAAGTGATCCAAAAGGGTGGGTCACCATTAATGAAGATTCAGGAATAATCACAGTTTTCCGAAGTCTTGACAGAGAGGCAGAGGCCATCCCAAGTGGTGTATATAATGTTACCGTCCTTGCGTCAGATCAAAGTAAGAAATGTGTTTTTAAGCCTGCTACATACATCTTTGGCAATATACTTCCATTTTAAAAAGTGACTCTAGACACTTTTAATTTTTTCCCAAAATGACATATGAAGTAATTGAGAGATTTGCTATAATTTATTAACTCATGTCTGCTTTCTAATAGCATTTCCAGGGTTAAATGTAATTATAAAGCAATTTAGTCACAGACATACTTGAAACAGTAACATATTAATATTAAATAATTAGGAAAAATTGAGAAAATGACTTTGGTAAAACTAGCTTCAATTTATCTACTCATTTCTCTTAAAATCTTCATTTTATTGGGAAAGTTTATTACAGGGAGAACATACTTATTGCCACATAGCACACTTCTGGAAAGCAATTATAACTTTTACAGGAATTTAACAGTATATTGAGGGGCTAGAATTGTGATTAAACACATTATACAAAGATAAATCATCCTCACAGTAAATGATATAGTTATAAAATTAGACAAAACTATAATAAATACTATAATACTATAATAAATACGTTATTATGCTCTCACTTGCAAAATTAGGATTCAGCCATGATTTTGGAAGACGATTTAGGTATTCCAATTCTCTCTGAATGAATTCTGGAATATACTCAGTGACTAGTCTCCTTAAATATTGTTCTTCTGCTATTCTTTTCTTTTTTTTTCTAGAATTCCCATTAGATGAATGTTGCTATTTTATTTCTACTGGAATTTGAGCTGTAATTTCCTTTTTAAATAATTAATGCATTTTCTTTAAATCTTGGAAGAGTCTAACCATACCTGCTTCAAAGAAGTCTTACATAGAATTAATCTAACAGTGATTTTGTTGGATTTTAACATTGCTCCTTTGGGAATTTTAATTGGCAGGCTTATATTAAGTGGGAAGTATTTGGTTTGCTTTCTGCTTCTATTTTTTTCCTCTTCTACTGTACCCCATCTCAGCTAGCAATCTTGTAGTTGCTTGTACCTGCTTTTTTCTGGCCCATGGTTCAGGACCAGTTTTGAATCTGGAGTCCCAAGTATTCCTGGCCCACAATGGCACTGGAACTACTGCAGGTCCAGTCGCTGGTTATGACTGCCTGGTCCTCTGGCTTTCCTATGTTGATAGCTCCCTATGAGACAGAGCCTCAGGTTTTTTTCTTCCTCTTCTTCGTCTCAGTGTTCAAGGCATGTTTAATAATTAAAAGGAATAACTGATTGAGAGACAGGACTCCTGACCCATGCTCTTCAACTTCATACCTAATAACGTCATTTACTAATTTGTGTCCCAGATTTATTTCTGCTTTGTCTTTGAATCTTCCAGATTTGTCAGTGTAGTGCCTTGTACAGAGTACTTACTCAGTAAGTTTTTGCCAAATATATAGATTAATTACTTAAACTACACCCATGGTGATTATTTCAGTTTGCAAGTGATTTTCCACTCTTAGAACATTTTCATATACTATTTTTGTTTTATGCTCCAAAATATTTATCTTCTATCATTAACTTTTCTTGGAAAACCTTAAGCGCTTCCTGTAAAAATGGATATTGAAATCTACACTCTCTAGTATGGTTTTCAAAGATCCCCAGCCCTTTTCTCCACTCTCAATTTCCTGCTCCCTGCTCTCTGCTTCTTCCTTTATTTTCTCCAGATCAGGGGTGTATACAACATGCTTTCTGACCTCCTTGAATTTTCCCATGCTTTCAAACATTCCAGAAGTACTATTGTTCATACTCTTTTCCTTTCTCCTCTTAAAAACCAATCAAAATTCACCTCTATAAAGATTTCTATCTTTATTGTAGTGAATTCTTGAATGGGTGAACATACCTAATATAGTAGTTATTCTCTACAATCCACTTGAATATAGTATTCTATTCTTATTTTTCCTTTTTTTTTTTTTTTTTAGTACTGGGCATTGAACTTAAGGGAGCTCAACCACTGAGCCAGATCCCTAGCCCATTTTATATTTTTAGTTAGAGACAGTGTCTTGCTGAGTTGCTTAGGGCTTAAGCTAAATTGCTGAGGCTTGCTTTGAACTTGTGATCCTCCTGCCTCAGCCTCCGAAGCTGCTGGGATTAAAGGCCTCCTGTGATACTACACCTGGCCATAATATTCTTTTAACATTCCCTGAGGACTTAGCTTGTGGCTGTGCTAGTAACAGTAACTTATAGGTACTCAACAAGTATTTAAAAATTTTCAGTGTATTATTTTTTGGCAAAAACTTCAAACATTAAAAATGTATTTTTCCTTTGATTTTCCTAGATGGGAGAACTTGTACAGGGACACTGGGGATTATACTTGAAGATGTGAATGATAATGGCCCGTACATACCTAAGCAGACAGTAGTAATCTGCAAACCTACTATGTCCTCAGCGGAGATTGTTGCTGTTGATCCTGATGAACCCATAAATGGCCCACCATTTGATTTTAGTTTTAGGAGTTCCGATTCAGAAGTACGGAAAATGTGGAGACTGATGAAAATTAATGGTATGTGTTTCGAAATGTTGCCCTTTTCTTTTCAATGTCATCTAGATGTTTCTTGATGAAACAGAATAACGCAGTTCTCATTTTGGGCCGGCTCTAGGCCTCTCTAGTGTCTGCCTGTAATTCTATGCCAGAGTTTCTTTAGGCAAAGTTTCATGAGTTTGCATTTCCCACTCTAAGAACCCATCCACATAGATTCTTTACATGACAATCATACCTTACATTATAAGGGAATCCCTCTCTTTTGCATATTCGTCCTCTGGGAAGTGGAGTCTGAGGCAGTCGCTCAAGCAGAATATGTATTAAGAAATTTGCTTGAAATCAGCTGTGAGAGGAAGGACTGGGAAAAGGAGAAATGGAGGTACAGCGCAGACCAGTAACAGTGAGCTGATCCTATGGGGAGTCTGACCTCAGGTCCAGTGGTTCCATGTCGATTCCCCAATCTCTGTCATTGCTCCATTGGTGGACGAGGCAGCCCAAAGGGATATGAGTTTGAGTAAAAGGGATACTCACAGAAGACACTGATGGCAGTCCTGAATTGCATAGGGATCTGGTGCCCAGACAGTGTCCCCCATGCCATCACTCCTGTCTACCCCTGTGTTGACTCCTGACCATTTTGTGTCTGTTGGTTTTCTTGGGATCCTTCCTCAACTTGGTTCCCAGTCTTTACTTTAGACTTCAGCCCATAATGGTCTTTGGTGACAAGAATGGTGAAAGTGAAGGTGACCTTTCCATTTTCACCTTCCCATCATTCTCTACATCCGCAATTCCCCATCTCCTGCTTACCTGCCTGTGGACCATGATGTTGGTACTGCTGGTTATCAGGGACGAGTCCTGCTCCCTCACTTGTTGAAGTATAATATTAGAGAAACATGCTAAGGCAAGCATATAAAAGAGGGTTTATTTAAAAAGGGGTAACATAGATTTCTTCTGGGAGGGAGAACAGGGCCATAGCTCGTATCCTGGTATCTGCAGAAGTGAGAGAGTTTGGCCTTTTTATATGTCCTAGGCTTCCTTTGTTCTCCTGCTCCCTTTCCCTTATTTCTCTCCTTCCTGCATAGGTGACTAGGTGACTAGGTGAGAAGCAGATGGGCTGGAGGGGCCAAGGTGAAGTGATCTGGGCAGGAAGGGGACTAATTTACAACTCCCTGTAGGAGGGAGAGGTTACCTTAGCAACAGGTTGGAGCAGGGTCAGGTTATCTTGATAAGGGTGGAGGAAGAGCTCTGAAGGAATTAACAGTTCAGTCCCTCCATTCTCTGGATCTGACCCTTGCCTATCTATCTGCCTGTCTAATTCTGGCTGCAATGTCATGCTCTGCTAGTTTTTATGACTCAAGAACCTCTGTAAATTCAGTGAAGTTTGCTTTAAAATATCCTTGACCATCGCTAAATCCCACCTTTTCAGTGACTGACTCTCACATTCCTATTAGGACAAATTAGAAAAGAAAGGTGAGAAAATGTAAAGTGGGATGGGATAGGGAAAGGAAAAGAAGGACCTGTAAAAGTAAGTAAGCTACTGACTGTGTCTTGAAGTCTGTCTTGTGAACTTACAAAATAGCTTTAAAACAATATTCCATTTTGTGTGTATTCTTTCTTAAGAAGAGTTAACCTTATTCTTAGATTTTTGACTTTTCTATTCATTTGGTGTCATAACATCATTGTTTTAAATAATGTTGATAGGAAATGATAATTTTAAAAATATATATCCCTACTTGCTGGGTGCAGTGTCGCATACCGGTGATTGTAACAATTCAGGAGGCTGAGGCAGAAAGATCAGAAGTTCAAAACCAGCCTCAGCAACTTAGTGAGAACTTCAGCAACTTAGCAGATCATCTCAAAGTAAAAAATAAAAAGGGCTGGGATGTAGCTCAGTGGTAAAGCACCCCTGGGTTTAACCCACAGTACCCTGCCCCCAAAATATATTCATACACACACACACACACACACACACACACACACATATATACATACTTTGGCAAAAGTATGTCCAAAACTTTGTGGGTTTTGTTTTGTTTTGTAGTTCTGAGTATTGAACTCAATGCTTTGCACATCCTGGGCAAGTTTTATACCCCTGAGCTATACTCTAAGCCCTCAAATTATATTATTTTAAAGAGTTACTGCTCTGTGAGTTCATCCCAAACCAGGGAAACAACAAGTTAAGAAACACCAAGAAAAGACTTTGAAGTCATATGGTCAAATGCTGGCCTCACCATTTATTAGTTCTGTAAATCTGAACATACTGTTTATTTTGTTTGAGTATCAATTTACTCATGTGTAAAGTGGGATTATTTCAGAAAGTAAATGAGATCATGAATGAAATAGACCATAGCACACTGTGAATCATTAGTTTTGGTTTTGTTTGTCTTATTATTTTTATTATTCCTTGTATAATAAACTTGACAAGTTAACCATGGTTTATCTTAAAATATTAATAATTTTCTCACCTAAACATCCAATTTACATTTAGAGCCTCAAACACCGCACACACACAAAAAAATCAGAATGTCCAATTGGGCATTTAAGTGAGCGAGGGATTGTCCTTTGGCATGTGACAACCATATTTAGTATCATGTCTTTCATTCTGAATCCAAAACTGGGCTTGTGGTCTATACCTCTTCCTACCTTTGATCTAACAACAACAACAAAAAAAAGTCAAAACAAAAATCTGTGCAGGTGGACCCAGTGTCCTTTAGGAGATGCAGTTCTAGCAGTTTGACCTATGACCTACTAATATGTTCAAAGTCAGGTGTGTTCTAAGTTGTTAGGATCTGTCTCTGATAATAAATCACAAGTGTGTGTGTTTACTCGGCACAGTATATGAGAAAAAATAAAGGGAGATACCCAGAATTTCAGATCATTCCTTTCTGATAAATCTCATATGAAAGGAAATATGCACTGACTGGTTTAATTGAACATTTTACAAATATGATAAAAACCAACCTCTTATGCCCCTTAGTTATGATAAAAGGATTTGTTTATGAACAGATAAAATATATTATTTCAAGACCAACTTTTATGTGCAATATGCAATGGCTGTAGGTTAGAACTATTCAGACCATTCACATTTACAGTCTGCTAGCAGTTGTGCTATCCCATTGAATATCCATTTGTAGGGAAATATGATAACTGTCTGATAAATAGTTATTTTTGCCCAGGACAAATCAGTGATGTTCTATAATGTTTGGTTTTATTTCTTCCTCAGATACAGCGGCAAGTCTTTTTTATCAGAATGATCCTCCATTTGGGTCCTATGTAGTACCAATTCAGGTTACAGATAGACTTGGCTTCTCTGCAGTCACTTCACTGAATGTTGTTATATGTAACTGCATTACCGAAAATGACTGCACCTTTCGCACAAGTGGAAGGACTGGCAACGGAGAAGTAAAACTTGGAACGTGGGCCATCCTGGCAATATTGTTGGGCATAGCATTGCTATTTTGTAAGTCCTTTCTTGAATTTCAATAACAGTCTCTAAGGTAACTTCCAAGACACATTCTTATAACCGGCACTCTCACCTATAGCTGATTGTTTGCATATAGCTTAGTTTCTATTTAACACATAAATATTTGTAGTGAATATTTTAAGTGCACTTATGTGGAGCTCTGGAGTCTCCTCAATTAGCATAGACATAACTTTCAGTGTAGACATAACAGCATGTGGCATGCACTTGCCACATGTATTTAGAGCAAACTTTTGTATACTGCTTTGACATAAGCAGTCTCACTTATATGCTCTAGAAAGTTATGATTTATTTTGCGTATGAATCATTGTAAATTCATACTTTCACATTATCTTATGATAGACTTAAGTAGAGTTCTTTCTTTCTTTCTCCAGGTATACTATTTACATTAGTCTGTGGGACTTCTGTGATAAACAAACAACCAAAAGAACTGCCTGATGATTTAGCCCAGCAGAACCTCATTGTGTCGAACACGGAAGCTCCTGGAGATGACAAAGTGGTAAGTCATTTGTCTTAAATAAATACAAAGGATGAATTAGTGTATAATGTAGATTCTTTCTAGAAAGATCTTTTCTGAGCAAAGTTCTTTTGAGATCAGGTAATTTACCATAAAATGTCATCTCCCTCATGGAACAGATAAAAATGACTGATTTCTCTGGGGACACATGGTATTTTGATTTGGCCACATAGTGCTAGTTTATAGTAAAAATCCTTTAGCATGTCATTAGTACTTTCTACTTCAGATGTTTCATGGTTTCAGTGTTAGGCCTAGTTTTCTGCATCTATTTAAATTACTGCTTCTGCTGTAAACATGTTGCATTTAATTAGTCACAGATCGCCAGGGTAATTGTTTTAAATTTTTTTCTGGCAACAGCAATAAAATTGCTACAAGCTTTGATCATCGTGGGAAGAAGTTTAATGGATTTTTTTTCTGGCTGTAATGTGGGTTAGAGAAGAGCCTGAGGTTGAATGTCCAAAAGAGCAGTGCTAGCAAGTGACAAATATTTCTCTGACTTTTTTCTAGCCCAATATGTGGAAGAGGAGCAAGTAAATTCCTTATATAAAGCATAATTAATGCTCAGAGCAGAAAAAATTTGGAAAATAAAAGCCTGAGGTATTTAAGGAGAGATTGAAAGAAATAAAACTTAAATTACATTAGTGGCCAGAGCTTTGATGTTCTTGGTATCTTCCCTGCTTGGTTTATTATTTGCATTTATGTGGATTGCAAGAATACATTATTACAGCTAAGATTCTTACAGCAACATTATTCTTTTTATTCAGTTGAAGTGAACGGAATTGCTGAACAAAAAGGCTGATTATTATTTCTGTTTCCCCCTTGTCAGATAAAAGGGGATGGATTTACCTATGAAAGTAACATTTCATAATTTAACTATGAAAGCAAATGTATATGAGACCGTAGTAATGCTTTGGGGTGTGAGATGCAGGAAGGAGGTAACAACCGAAGTTGTGCAATATAAGAAGCTTTTAAAGAAGGAATTATACATCAAGCTTTCCAATTTATCCAAGTGCCACTGACAGCTGCAACTTGTTTCTTATGATAAGACCCTAAATTTAATATTGGGATTGTAATAGTCAGATGCTCGGGATTGACAAAACAGGCTTAGTTTCTGTCCCCAGAGAGCTTACTACTTTCTAGGACACAAAACAAATCAAGGCAAATTTCAGTAATGATGTTGATTTTTCTTTGTCTTTTTTTTTTTTTTTTGTGTGTGTGTGTTGTTATTATTATTCTTTTCTGTAATTTCCCCAATGCAAATTGTTTTCATTTCAGTATTCCACAAATGGCTTCACAACCCAAGCTGTGGGTGCTTCTGGTCAGGGAATTTGTGGCACCGTGGGATCCGGAGTCAAAAATGGAGGGCAGGAGACCATCGAAATGGTGAAAGGACACCAGACCCTGGACTCCTGCCGGGGGGTTGGGCATCATCACACGCTGGATTCCTGCAGGGGAGGACACGTGGAGGTGGACAACTGCAGATACACTTACTCCGAGTGGCACAGTTTCACTCAGCCCCGACTTGGAGAAGTGAGTTTCCCTAGGTGTTCTACAAATCTATTTTAATTTCCCTTAAACTTTATAATGATAAAGATTTTACGTTTATTTCTATCTCTGTTTTTATTTAATTATGAATCTGCTCATTGGAAGTAGTTTCTTCTTAATTCTGATTTAGTTATGTTCCGATTTGAGTAGTTATTTACTTTTCCTCAGATGTTGTTTGGGTTTTATTATTCTTCATGAAATCAGATGTGATGATATTTAAATTATTCTCTCAAGACTTTGTGCTAACATTTCACATCTGACAACTCATGTCTTAGAATCCAGAAGTGTAGTACAAGACAATACCCATGTGCTTCATCACTGAGCCTGTCTGTGGATATCTGAGCTCATATCCATGTGGGTTCATTTTAATACATGCATTTTCACTTTTCGCCATCATATTTGAAAGGGGAAATGTCTGATTACCTAAAATGAACACTAGTTACTTGCTGCCTTGTGTGTGACAAATAGAAACTTGCTATATACTGAATTGATAGTGTGATTCTTGATCATACGGACCAATCATGTGCATTTTTTATATGTAGGAATCCATTAGAGGACACACTCTGATTAAAAATTAAACAATGAAAGGTAAATCAAAGCAATTATTTTTATGTTAGTACGTTTTGGTGTTTAAAATAATAATAATAAAATGTGTTGTGTTTTTCCCCTTGACAGAAGGTGCATCAGTGTAATCAGGATGACAGTCACAAGCACGCTCAAGACTATGTCCTTACGTATAACTATGAAGGAAAAGGATCGTCAGCTGGTTCTGTGGGCTGTTGCAGTGAACGACAAGACGAAGATGGGCTTGAATTTTTGGATCATTTGGAGCCCAAATTTAGGACACTGGCAGAAGCATGCATAAAGAGATGAACATGGTCTCATAAGTCAACCAAAGCCAGTGGCTTATCATCTTTTAATTTGTGTTCCTCTTCCTTTTAGTTACAAATGAGGATTTTTCAAAACAGAAGATGTTATGTTTGGAACTTTTCTCTGTTTATTTTGCACAATCTCTTTGGCCAAATGCATATTTACGGGAAACCAAATAAGTACACAATTGTTTGGACTTCCATGTAGTTTTTGATTACATGCTCCCAAGTACATTTATTTACAAACAGGAAACTTGCATTATTGTTTACATTTGGGTATAATGACAACAGCCAATTCATAATGCAATAAAATTTAATTAATTCAAAACTGTATTTAAAGACCACTTGAAATATAACCTAATAGAAGAATGTAGAGAATATTATCTCTGGTTAATTAATTACTTAGTTATTTGTGTGGTGCTTGGAAACTGTTGTTTTTCTAAACATTCTAAAATGTATACACTTTATCTTGCTTTATTTTGTAGCATGACCTTTCTTCGTAATGGGCAGGGAGTTTTCTAACTAGATATTGATTGTTATTACAATTCCATTTTGGTAGAGCTCACTTTTAGATTTTATTCCATGTAGAATCTTATACTGAGTCTATAATTTCCCTGTTACCGATTCTGTTAGTGAAATTTGTTTCAAAAGTGTTTTCAGAATGTTTTTGCTCTTGCAGTTTTTTTGTCTTTGAAATGCCCAGTGGTATGTCTGTCTGTCTGTCTGTCTCTCTCTCTCTCTCTCTCTCTCCTATTTGTCTTCTATTTTTTTCAAAAACTTCTACTTAGGTTAGAGAATCCAGATATTTTTCAAAGTTGTCTCTCTTTTTCCTTTTGTATAAAGTGAATTCTTTTTGTTTTATGTAAGCATATGTATTCTTTTTTTTTCTGAAAATCAATGTGTTAACTTTATTGTTTTAAATATCTTGGTGATTGCTTCATTACCTCCTCAACAAAGAATTTTGCCATTGAAACTGTAGAACTATGTTATGATGTTTTAGATGCAACATTCTATGTTAACAAAAGGACTGGTGTAATTAGATTGGGATGAGGATATTTAGTGTGCAGTAGCACAGTTATAGTTCATATCTTTAAAGCAAAGGATACAGTTTATAAATACCAAATAGTGTTGATTGTTTGAAATAAGCTTCAAAATACAGGGATCTTGAAAGTTCTCTAGGATGACAATTTTGCAGTTTTTTGTTTTGTTTTGTTTTTAAGATAAGATGGTTAGTCCTATCTGTTTGTAAAGGTTTTTTTTTTTTTTTAATATTACACAGTTACAGTTTTTAGCAAATATACCAATGAGCCAGACAACTTAAATTTTAAAACAATAAGACAAAATTAAACTTAATAGCCAAGCAAATTTCAGATTTATGGCTTACTTCATTGAATTCTTTATGTGTGCAAATATATGGACATTCTAAATATATTTCTAATATTTAATATTGTTAATAATGTGCCCGCCTTGAATGTACAAGGTTGGCTTATAACAATTATTTTTCAAAATTAGCATTGGATAGTTATTCAGTAACCATCTATCTTTTCAAAAGTTTCATTACTACTCAGTCAAAAATACAATTTCCCAGAATTATTTTTAATAAATTATGTTTAAAAATCTTGTGTATTACTAGTTATGCAATTTTTAAAAATGAGTGTGAATTTTTTGGGTCTGATATGAATTTAAAGGGTCATGCTTTTCTGATATAGAGAAATTGAGTCCCTTTTATAGACTCCTGTTATACATTTTTAGAACTTCAAGTTTGATTCAGAGAGATCTTTGGAGCACTGTTCTATTTGTCTCAACACATTTATGTTCATGCCATTATAAGAACTGTGAAGCTGGGGTCCTGATTAAATTGCGTTCTTTTTTCTTGTGTGTATTTCTATCATTTTAAAGTGGGGAATATACTAGAACTCCTTTCCTATGATGGTTGTAAGACACTTGAATAAAAAATGGTTTTTAAGCATGAAAGTCATATAGAGTGGTCCACCTAAAAAGGCACATGATAAATGATTTTAAATAAGTCAAATGTACAACCAATTCATGTTAACAAAAAAAAAATCAATTAAAATAGGATAGTGGGGAGATCTTTTTTTTAAAAAATCTTACAACATGTCAATCAATAATATGTCTCTTCATAATGATTGCTTGATGACTGGGTCTTAGATTGGGTCTCAGCTGTTCAGAACATATATTGCAAAGATTGCTGAGATGCATCCATGTAAGATGACCTAGTTTGTGATACTATGAAATTACAAAGTCGAACTTGGATGGAAAACAAAACCTCTTCTTAAACTGGGTGCTAATTCTGGAGCCCTATAAAAAAAAATTACACATTTAAGATTCCTTAGCTGCTTTTCTAGCTGTCTTGCTAAACATTAGCAATCACTTGTTGAAAGTCTGTGTCTTTCTGGTGGTTGCCATAATAACCCTAAGGGCAACGACTCCAGGGTAAGATTCCTTGATACAAGTCTCTGAGACACACTCTTGATAGAATTTGAGAAGTTATTTAAACCTTCTTTGCCTAGTTTCCTCACTTGTATTGAGCTGGGTGGAGAAGACTACTTGAATGGATTCCTGTCAGTATTAAAAGAGTTAATTCATAGGAATTGGTGCAGAGTTGCTGTCAATGTGTCTTTAGTACCCGCTCTGCTTTACAGCTGTTTGCTTGCCTTGTCACTTGGCTTCACCTTTCCCAGAAGCCCAACCAGCATTTTACCTGTGATGGCCTTTGGCAACTTCATGGTTCATAATAGCTTCTAGGTCTCTCATTCTTGGTATTGAGAAAGCTACATCTTATTCATAAATCAGGAGTCAGTGTGATGCAATTTTTGATCAGCCATATTTTGCCTCAAGGAGGCCAAATCTTAGGATTCCCCAAAGTAATAGGTGGTGCTTCTTTACAGGAGGAAAGCATTATTAGTTCAATACAGTTCTATTTGGTTTCTCCCTATAATTATTTCCTGCTTTTTTTTTGAAAAAAAAAAAAAATCCTTATCTTAAGATAAGGTGGTTACTTACTGTTTTTTTTATCTTGGATCCTGATTCCCTCATGCAAAATCTGACTTTGACTAGGCTTCCTCCTTAGTCTTCATCTCTATCCCTTTTCCTGGGAAACTGGTGGAAATCTTGACAACTTATTTTGCTCTGCTCAACACTGTTAGTAACATCCTGAGTCTAAAAATACTTTTTCTTCTATGTGTTTAGATCCTCCTTCAGTAAAAGAAGTCCTAAGAAGTTACATGATACATGATATCTATGAAGACTTACAGCTCTAATTCAGCTCTTCTGTGAGGTTCTTGTTAACCCTCTAGGATTTCAAGCTCATTAAGTAAAAAACAAATATGTTATGCTTCACACCAGATCAGGTTCTTCTGAGTTTCCCATCTGAATCATGTGCTCCTAATTACTTAGACTTGAATCTTTGATCTCTATCTCTTCTTTGCATAACTCATCCTATTTGTTGTCCAAAACTGCAACAATGTTTTTGCGAATTTTCAACACAATTTCATTCCTTAAAAAATTCATTTTTATGACAGTCACTTAATGCCTTCCCAGTGCAGTCATGCATGCTCTTCCTAGTATGCACTATAAAGCCTGTGCTTCTATGACACAAGATGAATCAGCTTCTCTCTCCACCCGCATACTCTAATGCAGGTCTCGACATGGTGGATTGAGCAAGGAGTAGACCAATGCCTGTAAAACATGTTATGTGATGCTTGGCACAGAGTTAGTATTCAACACATGTGAAAAAAATTCCAGATGATGCCAAACAAACTGTAGTGTGTGAACTTGTGCCCCACTCTTCCCAAGCCAGGTGTTCCTACTGATGACCTGCATCCTATCTCACTTATTCCCCACTCCTCTCTTCATTATGCTCCCACCAGAACCCCATGCAAACTCTCCACATGTCTCAGCTCCACTGGTGTTTGTGCCTCCGATTTCTTCCCTCTTTTCTTCATACAACTGCCCCCAAAGAACAGACATGATCATGGCGTTCTACTGCCTACAGGCTACTTATGGCTTTGTAGGATAAACTGGAAACAAAATCACATTCAAACCCCCATCTCCTTGTACCCCATACACAGCTACCTGTGGTACAACTGGTTACAGGCACATTCGCACAGTTCCTGGTGGTAGGGGGTAGGTGGTAGTCCAGGTAGCTTAACTGGACCACAATACGTGGTTGGCACCTCCATACATACTCTCCATCTTGCTCATGTTGGATCCTACATCTGCAGTGTTCTGGCTCACTCATTGTTTATTTCTTCCTTTGAAAAAATATGACTTTTTGAAGATCTAGTTCAAAGACATCTCCTGTAAAAAGAATTTGTATGTCTAGAGAAGATTCATTGATACAGTTTTCACCTACAAGCTTATATGTATAAGTGTGTGTGCGTGTCCTTCCTCATATAGGAAACTCACTGAGGTTGAAAAAAAATAAAGATGCATATCCTTACAATGCTATCTGGCAATATTTTTTTTTCCCACCAATATTTTTTCAAGTATTGGAGATTGAATCTTAGGGTGTTTTACCACTGAGCCAGTTATCCCCAGTCCTTTTTTATTTTTTCTTTTGAAACAGGGTCTTGCTAAATTGCTGAAGTTCTCCCTAAGTTGCTGAGCCTGGCTGTGAACTTGAAAGTCTACTTCCTCAGCCTCCCTAGGGGTTCACAGGTGTGTACCATTGCTCATGGCCTGTCAATACATTTTGATGAAATAAAATTGCATTGACCAATTCTCAATGGAAAAAAAAAAAAAAAACTATTGAAGATGAAAAACTAGGATTTTTGGTGGTTCCTACCTTATTTCCCTTGGCATTAATGTTCCATTGTAGACATAATGCTTATAAGACTCTGCATTGAATTCTTTCTCTAATGCAGAGATACTGAGTTAAAGATTTGCATTTACAACTTTGTACAAGAAAGCAAAGTTCTGAGGTTCTGGAACACTTTCCCTCTGGTGCATAGTGTGGGTGGCAGACAGCAGAGATACTGCCCCAGCATTGTGGTTTGGGTCAGCTGAAAGAGTCCTAC